CCAGCCAAAAGTGCCCGAAGGACGCAGCCGCCCCGGCTTCGGCGTCTCACCAGCTGCAGCGGAGGAGAGGGGGCAGAGGGATGCTGCGGTGGAAACACCCCTGGCGCTTCCCTGCGGGTGCGAACCAGCTGGCTCTGGTCACTGCGGTTCCAGCCCTGCGGCTTTTTGCCCAGCTTGCGGCACACCTTGCCCTGACCCACTCTGCCGGGTAACCGGGTGCCCCCCGGCCCACCCCACACAGGCAGCGGCAGTTGGCACCCGCCTCTCCTTCAGGCCCAGCCGTCCGAAGCAGGGGCACGGCAGATCGCAGCAGGGAAGAAAGGCAAAAAAAATCAGGTGACGAGCCCAAGGAGGGCCATGCCCTGCTCAGCCCACCCCGAGGGTGCGCCCCGGCAAACGCTGGTTGCAGCGGTTTGGGCACAGCCGTAGTGGGCAGCGACTGCAGAGCCGCCGGCTTTGGTGAAGGGGGGGGGTTTAGTTCTCTCGGCTTTTTCACCCCCTGTGTGTGTGGGGAACTGTCCTCACCCTGTTACCTTCGCCTTCCCCCTGCACAAGGGGTGAGCACCCCGGCTTGCCGGGTGCCCTGTGTGCCCTCGGCCCTTTGGGGACACCGGGGGATGCTGTGAGGGGTCACGCCAGGGGCATCAATTCAGCAGGCGGGCACAGCCGTGCCGAGGCTGGGGCACGGGGCTGCCAACCACCGGCGAAGGGCTCCACAGAGGGAGCCAAGTTGAGGCTCATACATTGATTTGTCTCGTTCCTTCACCACTTCCTTTGAAGTCGGGAAGAGCCTTTGTAGGCACTGAGATAAAGCAAGCCAGCACATCGTGCTAAAAACCATAATAAATAATTCCAAGTACTGATGAGAGATGAAAGAGAAAAAACGGAGACCTCCCGAAGCTCCCCAAAGCTGCTCTTGTCGAGTTTAAGCTACAAAACCCAGGGCTGTGCAGTGACACACTGAACCGCAGCGAGCCGTAGTTGTTGGTGCCCTGATGGCGGGCGCTGGGCACCAGGACTGTGCCCCGGCCCCGGCGCGGGTGCAACCCGGCACACACCTCCCTGCTCTCCCACCTCACCCCCAGGCACCGGCCCGGCGCAAACCTGGTCTGACCCCAGCGCCTCGCAGCCGTTGGGTCCCCCAGGCAGGGGCCGCTGGGGGCGGGGGCAACCCAGGGGGGGTGGCCGTGCCCAGGGCGCTCCTCATCCTCACCGAGAGCCCAAGCCCACCACCCAGAAGGGCCTCGGCCCCGCCGCTGGGAAGACAAACTCTCCCTAGGGAATTACAGATACCCTCTAGCTGACACTGGGAGGTGGGATGCC